TATGTACTGTAGGTTGATTAGTTACAAAGATAAGTATGGACAGCAAGAGATCAACCATTCTCACTCAATGTATGTGTCTATAACACCCTCAGCAGTATTAATTCCTGATTTACAGAATATTTTATTGTGTTGAATGATCAGGTTGGTTCCCTTTTCTATAATATGGATTGGTCCAAAAAAATGTACAACATCTTAGAGAACCTCTAAGTGCAATAACAATCTGTAGTTAACAGTCAAGGCTCAGCCATCATGCATTTGTGATATCTTTTGTATTTATCATGCTGTATCACACTGCATATTGCAACCTGATCTGAGCAAACTGCAAATTAATAGTGTGAGACTGAGATGTCAAAAAAAAATTGTTTTGTTAAAAACAGCATCACTGAATGTTATAAAGCTTTTACTACTGTCTATGCTAAAAAAAACTTTAACCTGATTTGCTGCTAAAGTCTTATTACTTTTTTAGAAGACAGTACAGTAAAACAAACAAAAAATCCTTTTAGAGCTTAAATTACTTTATCATAGCAGTACATGCTTGAAGAAAAGATTCGTCTTTCACAAAACTGCTTGGTATAAGACCAAAAGGAGTAGACTTCGGTATTACAGTATAGATAGTGGTGGTTATAAAGCTGGTGAGCAAATCATGAGTGGCAAAGGTGGGGGCTGGCAAAGAGCACCTGATGTTACAACTACGTTTGCATCATGGATGAACTAGATCAACTAACGATGATGAAGTGGCTCACAGTACATGGGAAGAGAGGAATAAAAGTTATCAGAAAAATAAAGTATTTTAACCACTTGAAGACCAGGTGTTTACACCCCCTTTTTTCAATATTCAGTGCTGCAGTACTTTGACATTTTTTCTGTCATGCAATAGGCAGGGACTTTAAATTATTATTTTTTGCAACTTTTATTTTTTTTTCACTTAACTTTATTGTTATCACATAGGGGGCTAAGAAATAGCAACAGGGATGTGACAGGTCCTCTTTATGGAGACATCAGGGGTCTCCAAGACCCCTAATGTCACCTAGGACCCTCCAAAGAAGCTGATGAAGCAGAGATCTGCTTCATCAGCTTTTGAAGCTGGAGAGTGACACAAGAATGCAGAAGTGATGTAATATACATCACTTCCACATTCTGACACCGGAGAGGGGACCGGAGGGAGATGCACATACCGGCTCGTTATACAAGTGATCCGCGGGCTCTATAGCCGGCGGATTCTTGTATGTACACAGGCATTGCTATCTGTTTTTAAATGTTGGCACTTTCCCGCTCGCGAGTGAGCGTGGCTTACCGGACGTTTAAAAACACCCGCTGAGAACATTCCATCACAATGTAGGACAGTAGTTACACATATTTTGCTAGCTGCTAGATTAAATATAACAAGGAGCTGGCGATCTCCTGACCTGCCTACTATCTCACAAGTGACCGATATGGTCCATTTACACTATCACTATAAAAAGGCTATGTCTTCCATTGGAGGGGAACTGACAAGATTCATTAAACACTGGGAACCTTGGAATGCACGGTACCCCTTCAACGATGTGAAGTGATGCCCCTAGTGCCAATATGCTGTTGAACTTCACGAGACCCTTCCTTTCCACAGGCCATATATAATGACTCACGTGTTGAGACTTGTCATTGTCGATGGCACTAAAAGTAATTCTGCTGGTCGGTTCTCCATTGCGATATGTGTTGTTGCTTATATGTTCGAGCCTATACATGATGTAACAATCCATGTAGACCTCACACGAGGTTGGTACTACAATACGTGTATAGTATGTTTCTGTGATTTTTCGATCGTGTACTGTTGTTTTTTCTATGATGTGAAAATCACTCAAACTTATTTGAAGAAAAAACACCCGCTGAGATCCAGAGAGCTCCCGGCCGGCTGTCTCCAGAATGACAATGCACACCGATTTGGGCAATGTATATTAGCGAAAGATTAAAAAAAAAGGCTACTCAGTTACACATTTTGGGACTTGGCTCTTATCCATCATGCAAAATGATGCTGTCATAGTCTCATGGATTAAACACACTGCAGCCAACAATCTGTGCCAACAAGGGGTGTCGAATTCGTATCGCCCGACGCCCGGGACATGTAGTTCCGGGCGCCGGGCAAGTGTTTTTTTCAGTGTTTTAGCCCTGCTACGGACAAGTAGCAGGGCTGTTTTTTTTTTCTTAACTGAGCGGCGCTGAGAGCGTGGAGCAGCGGGGACGGAGGAGGGGGCGGGGACGGAGCGGAGAGCGTGGAGCTGTGACAGAGCCGGACGGTGGAGCTGTGACAGGCTCTGTCACCTCCCTCAGCCTCTGTCCCCGGCGGCCGCTTCTCGTTCCTATCACAGGAGTTAGCACAGTGCTGTGCTAGAACTCCTGTGTTGGAGGTGACAGGGTCAATAAAGAGTACCTGTCACCATCAAATGCTATCACACAGGGGATTGATATCCCCTGTGTAAAAGCAATGCAGTTAAGTTTTAAAAAAAAATTGTTTAAAAAAAAAAGTAAAAAATAACTAATTAAAAATGTAACTAAATAAAAAGGCGATAAAGTAAAAATAATAAAACAAATTAAAAATATTTTGCAAAGTAAATAAAAATTGGAAAAATGAAAACAAGCCCCGCTGCCCCATCTGCATGCAAATAAACGTGCATTATTTTCAACTGCGATCGTGTGCAACCGCCTGGCGTGCCATTAGAAAATAATGGCACTGCCAGCGCGATCGTTGGTGGTGTGCAAGCCGTGACTGCCCGGTCATCGTGCACGAAACCGAGCGAATTTCTAGGTGGTCACGGTAGCTGCGGTGGTTTCCCGCCGCAATACCGCCCAGGCGATCCCACACGATCACGGTTGAAAACACTGCGTGGTGCATGTTGCGAAAAAAGGTACATGTAATTTTTTTTTCAGCGATTGCTACACAGATGTAACCCCATACATGCAGATGCAGCCGCACACGATCGCACGTCCTGGGAATCCCCAAGTCTGCACTAACCCTAAAGGGTATATTCACTTTCCCAAGTAATTTGGGAAAATGGAATTACCCACAAAAATCTCCCTCCCGCTATACTTACCTTTCGGCGAACGGTCCTTCCCGTCCACCAGTACAGGTGTACTATCTGTACCTGTTCTTTGTATTCTGAATTTCGCTCGCAAATTGCAAGCACTCGTTGGTCAACTCGGCCACCTGACCAACGAGAAGCGCTTCTTAGCACTGCTAAATACGGTTTGGGTTAAAATTATTTTTTTTGTATCAGGACAAGTAGATTGTCATGAGGGACAAGTAGATTCGGCCCCCACTTTAGTCCTTGGACAAGTAGTTTTTTTCAAAAATTTCCACACCCCTGTACCAGTATTTTTTCTTGGTCATTGTCCCTGAATATTTTCTATGTCACTGTTACCTTCTGTGGTGGCTTGACACAACAATTCAAGAGCCAGAAGAATGTTATGCTTCCTGATTTGTATTTCGGGAACAGTCCACTTCAGTTTGTCTTTTATAGACAATAATCACTGCCTTCTGAAGTAAATTTTACTTTTTTAGCTTCTTAACTTCTTGTGCATTAGTTCCTTAGTTGTCTGTTGCACTGTATATTTTTTTATTTTGTTAGTGCTTTATAAAGAACAATAATAGTAACATAATAGAGATAGTCAATGTCCTTCTTTAGGTTATTTCCTTTGTTGTTGAGTCTTCTAAGAGCAAAAGTAGTGTTATGATTTCCCATATTAGCTAAATAATTCATTTTAATGGATCTTCCATAATGTTGTGGAATTCATCACTGGATTGCTGGTGCTTCCTGAATGTGTGCTACTGAGGATCCACATCTGCCTTTTCCAAGGTAATCAGAAATAGACTGAGCAATGCAGACTCAGACAGTTGACTAAGTATCACAAGATAGGCTATATTCTCTAAAGTGGATGAGTTTTGTTAACTCTACTTCTTCTTATTTTATCTCATTATATTTTTCTCCTAAAGGTTCAGTTTAAAAATATAAAGATCTTGGGTGTTTTTTTTTTCATAAAATGGTTATTTAACTGCTGAAAGCCTTATTTATTTAAATTGTTATTTTATCTTACAAAAATACTTGAGCAGGATGAGCAATTTTAACTCCACTCCACTCCTTATTAAAAGTCACGAAAACTTTCTGACTACCTGCATTTTTTTTATCCCCACCATAAAAGGGTTCAGTTACTGCTTTTCTTATTGGACAGCTAATAAAACTCACTATTATTAACTTTGAGCAAAATAGTAAATTGTGGAGTAAACTTTAGGATTCATTTCAAGCAGTCATACAAATTTGTTTGATATTTCTTTTTCTTGTCAAATATTAACTTTTTTTTTATAGTTAACAAATTAACATGTTAAATCGTATAAAGATACATATTTAAGTCGTAATTTTGAATATAGTTAAAAATTTGGTCAACTGTTCCTCTGTTCTCCCTGAATTCATACAAGCAGTCACCTAGTTTATCCTACGTAGAAGGCTTTCTAGCTTGTATTGATGTAATAGTCTTGTATATGGTCTTTAACAGGTTATAACCCTGTAATTTGTATATCCTGTAATATCCCATTTTGCTTTTATTTTGTAAATGCTCACTATTCACCAAGCATGCTGAGTTTTGTAATCAGAAAGCCTAAAACTACCTTCATACTCCCTGTATGATACAGATGGTTCTATCCCTGGTAGGAGAGTGGGATGGAGTATGTCCTCATTATTTTTGAAGGAGGGAAGGAAATACTCTGGTGCCTATAAAAAGTAAATAAAGAGTTAACAGAACAGTAGGCATATTCCAGTGGATCAGTCAATAAAAGCAAAGGGTTAAATTGAGTAACCTGATGAATGTCCAAATCTGTGAAGAAGTGTACTGGTATGGTTTGGGCAAACTGTAGAGGAATGGATTTTCAAGGATTTTGTTATTTCTACTTAGGGGTCACCAGTTCAGTGCACTAGCTTTATATGTTCTACTGCTTCTGTTTATTGAAAATGTTTTTCATTTTGTCATTTCAGAATTTTTCCCCGGGAATATCTTTTTCAACAGATTCACCTATACTCTCTAGCAGACCTGCAACAGGTATTATTTTATTTGAAATGCAAGGTTATATTGTATTTTGCTATATCTATTACGTGTACTGGTTTTAGATTTATAGAGACCCTCTATTCATTTTACCTTTTGACAACTGCTATCTTTCTGTGATCTATTTGATATGTCATAAAGATTGCATACTACCATGATACAGCACCTATGCCAGGAGCTCTTTGTATTACTAAAACACACACAAAAAAAAAACTATTTATGGAATTTCTCCAACAACAAAGTATAACGCAATAACATAAGATATATTCATACGTATAACTTCACATTCTCAAACAATTCATCCCCACACAGCTACCTCCACATGTATCACTGGTCCCTCCCCTTAAGATTGTAAGCCCTCACGGGCAGGGCCCTCCTTACCATCTTGTCTTGAATTATATTGTAATTGTAATGTCTTCCTTATATTGTAAAGCACTGCACAAACTGTTGGCGCTACATAAATCCTGTATAATAATAGTAATAATAATAACTTCTTCTACAACTAAGAAGGTAGTTACGAAAATAGGTAGGCAGACGTGAGGTCCAAATCAAAGCAGAGCATTTTGAAGCAGAGCATTACATCCAACACAGGCTAAAATACATATAAAAATAAATTGCCATAGTTTACTTGCTTTCAATGAATTTCAGGTTTTAGACATTGTGCATATCAATATTTTACATCTCATATTTGGACAACTTTAAGCAACTTTTCCAAACTGAACCATTCCCAGCTTTGCAGTGCTATATCCATATTTCAGGGAATCATAACAATTCATTGTATTGCTTGTCCTAGTTGGATTCAGAAAACTAGGAGTGTTCTTATAGAATAGTTTAGGAAATGTGAGAGATTTGTATGCATCACTTTTTTAAGTTTTGTGGCACAGAAGAAACCATTAAGAGAAATTGAGATTTGCAACCAAGAAAAAACATTGCATACTGCTACATAGAATTAAAACCTATTTAAACCCCACAATTCTCTATATTTTTCTAGTTTTTTATTGGGTCCTGGTTGTAGTTATTTAGATCTGAAAATTTTTGCAGGTAAAAGATATGTCTAAGGACCATCTGGACTCCGATCGCCAATGACATTCAGTATCCTGCTGAGCACTGAAGAGGACGGAACAGTATCTTCCATCCTCTTCAGCTGCCCATAGCCGTCTCTGTCTCCCGGCTTCTCGGCCCCTCTCCATTCCCAGCCCGACCTGCTGGCTTTGCATCTAGGCTCTCTGCTCTGCCTTCCAGCTCTGCCTCCGACTCCTCCCTCCTGGCTCTGCTTCCCAGCCCCAACTCCTGGCTGTGTCTCCTGACTTCACCTCCCAGCTAAGGTACCCCAAGGACACATGTGACACTCCAATGGGGACAACTAGTGTAAGGGGGCACTCCAATGTGGACAGCCAGTGTAAGGGGGCACTCCAATGGGGAAAGCCAGTGTAAGGGGGCACTCTGATTGGGATTGCCAGTGTAAGGGGACACTCTGATGGGAACAGCTAGTGTAAGGGGTCACTGTGATGGGGACACTCTGGAGCAATGTAAAGGGGCACTGTGATGGGGACAAACAATGTAGGGGGGCACTGTGATGGGGACAAACAATGTAGGGGGGGCACTGTGATAGGGGCACTCTGATGGGGAAAAACAATGTAAAGGGGCACTCTGTTAGGGACAAACAATGTGAAGGGCCATTCTGATGGGGAAAAACAATGTAAGGGGGCATGGCTGCATGGATGCATCAGCACTGTGTCTGAGAAAACACATCAGCAGCTGTGCTTTGCAGTGCAGCTGCTGGTGTGACTGCAGCCTAAATGGCAGACCACGGTTCAGAAATGGAGTAAGTGGCTGTTTTGTCCAGACCACGATTCGGACCTCGGCTCAATTAAAATCTTTCTCACTGGACCTCCTTGAATTTTAATTCACTACCCCTGTTCTAAGGTAATCATTTTTAGCACTGGCACAATCTCTATAGATTGTCAAAGATGCCTATTGTTCTACATATGTTCAGTAGAGGGCAGTAGATATGATTATGTCCTAGCTGGTTTCAGATAAGGCTCAGTATAGTATTCTTGGTAGGTAACTTTGAAGGTTAACATGGCTTAGCCTGTAGACTAGCTTTTGAAATACGTCCGTCCGTGAATGATATTTGGTACCAGATGTTTCCAAGCAAAATATAGTTTACTTTCCATTTTACACTAGTGGCCATTTTTAAAGATACTTTATGTACTACAAAAAAGGCCGTATACAGTATTCACCGCATCCATCTCTGCTTTGGACATGGAACTTCCTAAATAAGACTACCTAAAACGGTACACTATAACTAAAAAATAAAAGCATATTTTCAGAATTATGAATTTGTCCTCCACATTTTCTATAGCCTTCCTACCACTGTTGTATGCACTGTTCTACTGTACAGTTTGTATGAATGTATACTTTTTATAGATGGTGATTTGCTGGTAGATTACTCAGACATTATGTAGACAATAGAAGAAATGTAATTGGTATGTGTTTACTATAATACCTCCAGCATAAACACTTAGGGAACACTGCTTTGTTTTGGGACATTGCTAATAGTGGGGAACAGGTGGAGGATATAATATGTATTGTATTTTCTTGCAAAAAAAGGTTCATGAGAAATTTGTAAGTGGTTTAGTAATTTTAGCTTAAAGACTGACTGCATTTCTTACTAAGTGGGGGCTTTGTGTTTCATCTTAGCTAGAAAGCCTGAAACAGCTGTATGCAGTTTGGAATAAATGGCTTTATAATATTAGGCTATATCTGTACTTTTGCACCAACAATTCTGGATGTGCAGTTGGCCACATATATTGATACATTTTTATCATTAGACACGCATGATCTAATATAAGCTTATTTACAGGTGAAACTCGAATAATTAGAATATCATGCAAAGTTCATTTATTTCACTAATGCAACTTAAAAGGTGAAACTAATATATGAGATAGACTCATTACATGCAAAGCAAGATAATTCAAGCCGTGATTTGTCATAATTGTGATGATTATGGCTTACAGCTCATGAAAACCCCAAGAACCCCAAATCCACAACCTCCAAAAAAGTAGATTATTACATGCAATCAATAAAACAAGGATTGTACATAGAACAATATCGGACCTCTGAAAAGTACAAGCATGCATATGTACTCAGTACTTGGTTTGGGCCCCTTTTGCAGCACTTACTGCAATTACTTTTGCACGATATTCTAATTATTCGAGTTTCACCTGTATATGTTGGCACAATATTTTAGGCAAGGTTTGGACCCATAAAATAAGAAATTATTTTTTTAGCAGAGGTGTGTTGTTTTAGGTAGCAAAAGTTGTATGCCAATAGGCCACAAGTCTTTTTAATAACATTGTACAAAATTAACACACGACTGACATTGTACATAATGAACACGTTTGTTTATGGAATACTTGCTTGCCAGAACTTAATTTTGTATATAATATATCAGAAGAGTAAATTGACCTTTTTAGCTTTTTTTTTTCCTTTCTTTATTTGTCTGTTTAAAATTAACTATCATTTCTTGGTGGAAATCAAATTAATTACCCAATCTGCTCCAGTGAATAGTTTAAATTAGATTCAGCTTCTAGGAGTGGCAGCCGCCACAATATTGTTAATATGTGCCTCTGAGTGTAGCATGAGGTTTTTATGCTCTTGCCAAGTCAAATAAACAGAAGTCACTCTCTTTTGGATAGATATTTGTTTAGAGATCTTTTTTCTTCTTGAAATATCTATTGCATCAAGCTAAGGTATTACCATTAAGAATGTGTTGTATGTACACGGAAAGATGCTATGTATATTTGAAGAATTAATCTTTATGTTTATTACCAAAAGAGTTTAAGTATTGCCCCTCTTTCTCTAGTGCTTCATTTTAAGAATCCTTTTTTGGACATGTAAAATCCAACAAAATCTTGGAGGAAAGAAAACTGACTATATATCTTTTTGAAATCTACCAGTTTATTATATACCACCCAGGACCATAGTTTGGATTGTCCTATGTTTCCCATACTTTAGTTGATTGTGTACCATCTTCATGACTTTTGCATTATTAAAACAGTCCGTCCATGAAAAAGTAATCTTACTGTAAGTAGCATCTCTTGAAGGTTACAGAAGCAAGAGCTATATTCCTTATTTCTTGCTTCTGTTCCTATCCTCATTGGAGTTTTACTCTCACTGCTATAGCTGGGGTGTCTCCTAGCACTCAAGTACAGAGATCTTTCTATAGGAGTCTCTGAGAGACAAAATAAACTGTTCGGTGATTTACGAGATATCCACCAAAAGCTAAAATACCTGTTTTGAGTTGACTGACTTTTAATAATTGTAAGTATGGTTCTCTAATTGATACCATAAAGAATCCATTTTCCTGTTCAATCTTAAATCATGACCACTTGTCTTTTTCAGGGACTTTAGAGTTAAAAGGTTATTACAGTTTGTTAGGGGTGCACCGAAATTTCGGCCCGCCAAAACATTTCAGGCCAAAAATGATACTGTGGACAAAATGCCGGTAGTACCAAAACAGCCAAAATGCAGTGCATCTCTAGTTTCTCTCCTCCCCACTGGGCGCCGGTCTGTGTCCCCTCTGATCCCCGCTGCTTTCCCCCGCCTGTGTCGGCAGAGGACATGAAGCCGATCCAGTTATGGACACCCAGCGGGAGCAGAGAACTGTCAGGAGGCTGAGTTGGGCAGTGCGGGGAGGAGAAAGCTTTCGGGAGGCCGAGTGGAGCAGCGTGGGAGGAGAGCTTGGCCTCCTGTGAAAGGCGGATACAGTCAGGATGGAGGATGTAGCACAAACAGCAGTCAGTACTGATCGCTGAGTGTTTGTAACTAACTGAGGACAAAGTAAGCTTACTATGTCCCCAATTATGAATGAACAAGAAGTGTTCTGAATCACTACCTGTTCATTCATGATTGTGGACATAGCAGCTTATACGATCTCCTCAGTTTATGAATGGACAGGAGCACTTGGTATAGAGGCTTCCTGTTCATTTATA